TCTATTTCCTTTTTCCTGTGTCTTTTTTGTATAAGGACACCAGTCATATCAAATTGGGGTTCACGCTAATGGCCTAATTTTAACTAAATTCCGTTTTTAAAGGCTCTATCTCTAAATATAGTCACATTTCAAGGTAGTGGGAGTTAGAACTTTGACATATGAATTTTGAAGGGGGCACAATTCAGCCCATAAAAGGACTCTATAAATTTTCATCTCTAACTATCATGCCATAAAATCAATCTTAATTTTTTTTTTTTTTTTTTTTTTGCTTTAATGTGCTTACTTTTCTAATGCCATCAATCGTGTCTTGCTTTCTGTGGTTGCATCTTTTCCTTTGGTTTCAGATCATTATAGGCCTAAAATCTTACAGTGCTCTCAAAGATCAAGTTTACAATGAAAACATAGATTTGCATTAAAGAGAAAATGTGACTAATAAAATGTAAAGAAGTAGAGCACAAGCACAACACAAACATACACACACAAAAATTTTTTCAATAATATATGCACGCAGGTTTTTTCATTTGCTTGGACTTGACATAATTTCTTATAGGCATTGCTCTAGGCAAATGTTAACTGAATGTACATGTTAGTGAGATTTGGCAACAGTGTCCGATTACTTAGATGACACTCACATAAAGTGCCTATATTTTCACCCAATCCTGAAATTACTGGCCAAATTTATCTTCTGAGTCATCCTGAACTCTTTAAAAAGGCATTACTAAGTTCTTATTGTCTCATGTGAGACTGAAGTTCTTTTGTCTTTTAAACTGAAGCACCAAAAGCCAAACCTAAATAGCCTATGAAGCAATACTTTTAATGTTGATACGTTTTATTAATTTTTGAAAACATATTACCCTTGAGTATATTATTTTAGTCTGCTAATTTGTACTTAGAATAACATGGCCTGTAATTTTCACTTAAGGGAAAATAATGTCCATTTGAGAACATTTGTGCAGAGGACAGTTATGAATAAGTGGTAGGGTGTGGTCCATGGGACAATTCTTTGAAACAGATGCTCTGAGGAGACTCTAATCAAAACAAAAAGTTTTGTTTTGTTTTTTGTTGCACCAAGCTGATCATTTTTATTCCAAATATTTAGAAAGAATAAATCCTGTACCAAAGAATATGACTCTTAGAGTTTTCTAAATAGTTGTCAGCATTTTAATTAATTTCCTAGACTAATCTTTGCTTTTACAACCTAAACCTCAAAATCATCCATACTACACTAATTTAATGTGATGGTAATAACAGCTGTAGGCATTTTAGTCTAATCTGTATGGTATACAAAAATCTAAGACCGTTCCCCTTTGATACATGAAGGAAAGGTATCCAAAGTTTATTCTCACTAATATATGACAACATGCAGTTCCATTCTGCCTATGTAGTTAGATTCTTAAGTGCTAAAAATAGGCACTATAACTTTGTAGGAGCTACATTACATGTTCCCACTTTCCTCCTTCATTCTGCTTGTAAGTTTCCAAGGATAATAGGTAACTACACACTTAATAAAATTATTAAGACATGATGAGAGATTTGAACCTTCTCTGTCCCAGATTGTCATTTGCCTAAAAGTCTCTTGAATTTCTGAAAGTTATCAACTGATACTTTTATCTCTTTAACAGTTCATAGCCTGTCTGCGCTCTGCCATTGTTACAGCCATGCAATACAGTGATAACTGCTTATCGCATCTGTACATCTATCATTGCTCAAGCTTGTGCTTCAAAGAGCTCTTTTCTTTGGCATTTCATGAGGAGGGTGATTTCAATTTTGTGACTTCAGCATTTCACAAAGCAAGACCATTGTTTCCACCTAAAAAACTGCTTTTATAGTCACATCAAAACTAGGGTCCAGAGAGTTCACCACCTGAAATAACACTACAAGATTTTTTGAGCAGAGAGTCAAGGTAACAGTATTTTATAGAAATCGTACAGAAAATATATTATAGCAGCTGTTCTACTTTTAAAAATTTCTGTAGGATATTTTAAAACTTTCTTAAAAATTTTAAAATGTGTTTGTAAATCTTTCACAATAAGTCCTCAAGGCCCGCTGTATGTGAGTTAGAAGTTACCTGAAGTCTCTGTCCCATTTTCCACATGCATTTTAATTTTTGCATGTTTTTCTGAACTTTTTGCACTTTGACAATTGAAATTTATCTGAAAGGACTCTGATAGCCTTAGTAGGTCTTACGCAATTGTCGGAAAGCAATTTTGTGCATAGGGAGTTTGTAGTCAGTCTGTAGAAAATGATTCAAATAAAATTTATGTTAACATTCTCATAGATATTTTTCTTGTTCTTAACACTTGCTTAGAATGAAATGTAATGCTTTCATGTGCCCCATAAAAAATAATTACATTACTTTTGGACTCATTCTCTTTTTACATGTGTTTGCCTTGAAAGCAGAAATAGCAGTAAACGCCATGCTCATTTTACATACACATGTTCATTTTAAATGAAAAACAAATGATACCAGGAATTGATGACTGAGTAAAATCTTAGACATTACTTAACTGTCTGTATCTTTCAGCCTCTTTTGTTTTATAGTCACTTTCATTTGTTCATTTAAGAAATTTCTGAGCGCCCTTTATATATGAAATCCAGTCTGGGTGCCTGAAATATACAAAGGAACAAAACAAACAGAAAATACTTGCTCTTTTATATTTCAGCATCAGGAGACACAAAATAAAGAATAAACATAACAAACTGAACATAAAGAGCCAGCTAAGAGGTTCTGAGAGTGCTGGAAGGGCAGATTGCGATTTTAAATCAGTTGGTCAGAATAGCACTCAAAGAAAAAAATGACAATTGTGCAACAGCTTGAAGGAGGTGAGGTACTTAAACCCTGGGAATCATGGTTAGAAGAGTGCTCTAGGTAGAGGAAGGAGCCATGGAGAATAATCTATGGCTGGAGCTTAACTATCCTGTTCAAGAAATAGTAGAATGTTTATTAATTCAACAATGAAATCATCAATAGACCCATTTCATTTAGTCTAATATCCTCTGAGCCTACAGTTAGTAGGCATGTATTGAGTCATTCTAATCTACAATAAACTAGTACATTCTCATAAATAATATTGTAAATTTTATCTGTACATGTTCACACTCCTCAATGCATGCATTTTTATTAAAATTGAACATTTTTTTCATTATATTGTAAACTTGAGAAGAAGGAATTGATTCTCAATCACTATTTTTCTCAATATTATATTCAAACTCAAAAGATATTCAATAGATGTTTTTATCTATAAATAGAGGGTAAAAAGACTTAAGAGTCGGAGTTTTAAAGAAAGACCTTTCTTAGTTACATGAATGACAGTGGTCAAATATTTTGGTTTTTGCCTCAGTTTGCTAATGTGCAATTGAAAGACAATTAATTAATTTTTAAATATGTGAAATGTTGCATAGATGTAAATTAAACTACGTCACTTGTTTTTCACAAGTACATGAATTATGAATAGGAAATTTGAGAAATAAAATGCAGAAATACAAAAGCAGTTCTACAGAAGAAAGCAATGCAATTTGAAGAACCTGGAAAAATCAAAAGATGTTATATGGTATGGCCAGTGATGACATTCTATGAGCTGTTGACCTGGATTTTCAACTCTGATGGCCAATTTCCACCTGCTCAATGCTGGTCACCTGAATGGTACAGTGATTTGGCCCTTAGGGAAGAGATACCTTCCATGTTGATCCATTTCATGCTTTGTCAATTTATAAAATCACGTCTCTCCTGACTAACCCTTGCCAACTTTCATCTGAATCTCTAATTTGCAGTCAAATGACAAGTCCATTTCATAAATGCTGCATTTTTCTAGTTCTGAGGTGCCTCATAGGCCATTTACATCAGAGCTTTCTCTGATTTGTTTTAATCTGACTGCAGGTAAGCTTCAAAATTATTTTGCTTAAAGTATCTTATTTTAAAATTTTTACTATTCCCAAATCCCCAAAAGAGACATGAACATACTTAGCAGATAGATTGTTTCTGAGAAATATCAAATGAGATACTCAGAATATTATTTTTAATACAAAGCTAAGTTGCTCAATGTTTAATATCTTTGATTCTACCTTTCTTATAAACACAGACAGTGGAACAGATTTTATTTCATTTAGAGACACACAAAACATCCTCCATTCAACCTCCTGTTACAAATTGTACATTGCCATTTCTTATTCATCCATTCTGTATATATGTATCTCCAGCTATATACCAGGGACTGTGATAGACGCTGGGAGTAAAAAAGATAAGACATTAGGAATTTTAGGCCTAGTGCAAGAGAAATAAAAGCTGGCATTCTACTTTGATTAGACCTGTCCAGCTTATTATCATTCAGAAGTATAAAATCAAAGGAAATGCCCTATGGTTATAAAAGTCATATAAGCTAATGCATAAAACAGTCACATAAACCAATAACCTACTTGCAAATCTGAAGTCGATATTTTCCTCACATTAATGTGAATATTTACATATAATCACTATTTGGAGAAACCTTCCCCAATATCAGATAATAAGAGAAACCAAATTAATATTCATAAGGTTGCCTAGTGAGCAGGGTATTAAAGAAATCTGAATAATCTTAAACTATAGTCAGGCTAAGAAAAGAGTACTGATGAACAAGCCCAACCCTGGCAGCTTAGTAAACCTCCATAGTGACTTAACAGTCAGTTTCCTGGACATCGTGTCTCCACTACTGTACAATGCAGGCTACACAGCCACATCCCAGCTCCTACCTCTCTCTGCTCTAGGTGCTCTAGGTTTTTCTAAACACTTATTTTCTTCAGGCCAATCAAAATATATTCGTCTGTGTTTGAGTTAGCACTATCCATTGACTTAGATAGGTAGAAATGAATAGTGACATAGCATATTTTCTTGAGATTTATCTTTGGCAACTGTCCCTATATTGCTTCACCATTTTTTAATATATTTACTATTCCCTAGGCATGATGTGTATTTAACTGTATTGGCAGAAAAGCATGGTTTGCAATAACCTATTGTAACTATTACATTTAATGATTATTATATTTGTCAAAAATGACCTTTTTTTCTTTAAAGGTTGTCAAAATGATGATTATTGTCGTCATGACATTTGCCATCTGCTGGCTGCCCTATCATATTTACTTCATTCTCACTGCAATCTATCAACAACTAAATAGATGGAAATACATCCAGCAGGTCTACCTGGCTAGCTTTTGGCTGGCAATGAGCTCAACCATGTATAATCCCATCATCTACTGCTGTCTGAATAAAAGGTAAAAAAAAAAAAATATGAAATGCAAGTTGATTGTCACTCCTGCCTTCACTGGAAACATATAATTTTCCAGTTTCTTGGTTCAAATTCAAAATGCAGAAGGAAGAGAACATTTAAGAATTCACTGAGAGAGGCACAAGGCTTTATTTTTTCAGACCCCCTCCACACACTTTATAAAGCATCCCACCTTAAAAATTACATGACCCAAACAATGTTTTGGGGTTCTAAGTGAATGATTTTTCTATGGGCCAACTTCTTTTTCTGAAACCTCAGAATTTTGCCTACCAAAGAAAAAGAAGTGCCCTCATGATTGAAGGAGAACTGAAAATATGCTAAAATCCTCAAAGAAATGAAGATACTTCCTAGAAATTCTTGAATAATTTCTATAAGATGGAGAGATTATGGCATATGTGAGTGGACTTTATTTAAAAGGATATGTTGTAAATATATAAACTTCAAAGTAGAAGTCTTCATAAAAACAAGAGGAACTCCAATCTTCCTTCCTGCATTGTGAAGTGGGGTGAGTAAGAGAGCATGCAGCCTCTATGGAGATGGCTTATGAAGAAGCCACGGTGGTCAAGGGAAAGATTTTTATAAAGTTAAAAAATTAAAAGTGAGAATATTTATAGTCAGATGTTAAGACTAGAAAAAAAAAAAGGATAAAATGCTTTCCAGATTTAAAAAAAAAAAAACAAAAAAACCTTGGTTGTGTGGTCAGCACATGTAGGGGTAGGGTTAAATTTCATAGGGCTGGTAAGTCCTATACTAAGCCAATATGTCTTGTTTACAGGTAGAAATGGGGCTTTATGTAAGTAACTGCATGAATTAAATCCTTAGCTTTCTTCTCAGTTGGGGCTCTAACACACTGTGACTTAAGTTTCATAAATACTTAATTAACTCTTGCTTTTTGTTTTTCACTAATTGCATAAGCCACATGCCAATTCCCGCCACCCCACAAGGAGTACATCCACTTTTAATCAACTTCATTTAATGATTTACAAACATAAGGATTTTGCACTTTCATACATGATTAGATAAAACTATCAAGAGTAGCAATTAATTCTAACATTAAATGAGAGTTTATAAATGTGTAATCATTTCTGAAAGAAGCTATTTTGAAATATATCATTTTTAAGTGCCTTAACTGGCCAACCTAATTCAATTATATTTACGTAAATATATAAAATTATGTTAGAAAAGCATGCAATTTCCTTAACATCTGGACTACCTGATGCTGTGCGTTTGCTATTGATGACTTCTCACTGACAGGAATGAGATGCTTTTCATTGCTGGGAATCAATGCTTCTCATTAATGGGAAATTAAGATTTAATTCAAACAAGAACTAAAAAACTAACAATACTGTGCCAAAAAGTCTGAGTTTGGCTAAAGAAACAAAACTCAAAAACTGAGTTGTTGTGACTGCCTTACATAGAATTTTCTGTGGCAGCTGAAACACATATCTGCTTGAAAAAATAACTTTTTCTTTCTGTGGCCTGCTTTTCCTTAGATTTCGAGCTGGCTTCAAGAGAGCATTTCGCTGGTGTCCATTCATTGAAGTTTCCAGCTATGATGAGCTAGAGCTCAAGACCACCAGGTTTCATCCAACCCAGCAAAGCAGTATGTACACTGTGACCAGGATGGAGTCCATGACAGTGGTGTTTGACCCCAGCAATGCAGACAACACCAAGTCCAGTCAGAAAAAAAGAGCAACGCCAAGAGACCCAAGCTTCAATGGCTGCTCCCGCCGGAATTCCAAATCTGCCTCCACCACTTCAAGTTTCATAAGCTCACCCTATACCTCTGTGGATGAATATTCTTAATTCCATTTCCTGAGGTGAAAGATGAGGCCATCATCATGCCAGCCTAGGACCCCATTCTCCTATTTATTAGTCCTGTCCTATATACTCTCTAGAAACAGAAGGCAATTTTTGGCAGCTATAGTCAAACTGAGAAAGGCAGGATATAAAGGTGACAAAGACACTAATACAATCTTAGTTTTCACACAAAATAAAATGGGCTTTAAATTTACTATTTAAAAACTCTAAATTATTATATGGAACAAACAAAAATATGTCTGAAAAATACTTATGAACTCTCCAGTCTATCTCATTTACAAATTGCAATACACATTTGTGACATTAAAATAACATATAGCTTTTCCAAGAGATTAAAGATCATTTAAAATGTAATATTGTAAATTAAGGAAAACAAAATCTATATAAAATGGACTTTTTGCCTAGAGAAATAAGGTGGGAGAAAAAAAGGTAAACGACTCATTTTCCCACTACAGTAATGGAAAATTAACCTCAAGAAGTAGGAACTGAAAATCTTTGCTAAAGAAAACTCATTTTGTAGAATGTAAAAGTTTAAGGATTTAAAGATTTCTTACATGGCATTGAACTGAAAAGAAAATCTAATTAAATCATTAGACAAATGTACATGTCATTCTCTTGATAATTTTTTCTGAGAAAGTAAAATTTGTAAAAATTATATACTTTTGACCATTACATAGTTTTAAATGCCAAGCTAAAAAGTAGTCAAAGTTAGGACCTTAAAAAATATAAAGGGCCGGGCGCGGTGGCTCATGCCTGTAATCCCAGCACTTTGGGAGGCCAAGGCGGGTGGATCACGAGGTCAAGAGATCAAGACCATCCTGGCCAACACGGTGAAACCCCATCTCTACTAAAAATACAAAAAAATTAGCCAGGCTTGGTGGCACACGCCTGTCTGTGGTCCCAGCTACTTGGGAGGCTGAAGCGGAAGAATCGCTTGAACCCAGGAGGCGGAGGTTGCAGTGAGTCAAGATTGGGCCACTGCACTCCAGCCTGAGTGACAGAGTGAGACTCTGACTCTGGAAAAAAAAACAACAACAAACTAATATACAATTTTTTTTAAGTGTTAGGGTGTTTTGCATAACCAGCATAATCATGCCATTACTATACAATTGGTGCCACTATTAACTAAGTGAACATGATGGAACATGGCAAGGTGATTTTAAAGTTATGTGAGACCAGGTGTCTTCACACCTATAATCCCAGCACTTTGAAAGGCCAAGGCAGGAGGATCACTTGAGCCCAGGAGTTCAAGGCCAGCCTGGGCAACATAACAAGATCCTCTTCAAAATATTTTTTAAAAATTCAGCTAGCCATGGTGTAGTTCGAGCTACTTGGGAGGCTGAGGCAGGAGGATCACTTGAGCAAAGGAGTTCAAGATTACAGTAAGCTATGATCACAACACTGCACTCCAGCCTTCCTGACAAAGCAAGAT